GGAAGGAAGGAAGGAAGGAAGGAAGGAAGGAAGGAAGGAAGGAAGGAGGAAGGAAGGAAGGAAGGAAGGAAGGAAGGAAGGAAGGAAGGAAGGAAGGAAGGAAGGAAGGAAGGAAGGAAGGAAAGGAGGAAAGGAGGAGAAGGAAGGAGGGAGAGAGTGTGTGAGTGGAGGAGGGGCAGGGAGGGGGAGAAAGGAGAGCAGGGAGTGAGAAGAAAGAAGGAGGAAGGGAGGGAGGGAGGAAGGGCGAGGAGAGGAGAGAACAATGAGAACAGTGGAACAGTGACAACAATTAACCAGTGGAACAACTTGCTGCATCCCTGGAGGCTTTTAAGGAAAGACTGGGCAACCATTTTGTCTGAAATGGTACAGGGCATCCTGCTCGAGCAGCGGGTTGGACTAGAAGACCTCTAAAGTCCCTTCCAGCTCTATTATTATATGCTCTCTGCCTATGTTATCTTCCAAAAACTGTGGTCTATCTGTCAGCTCAGAACATTATGTGTATTTGTGTGTATATCAGCAACCTTGAAAGAGAACACCTTTTCCCACTCACCTGGGATCTGCCAGCAGCCTCCTCCTCTTCCTCCATTGGAAAGGAGGTTAAGACTGCGAGGACTCGCTCGCATCTCTGCCACTCCACACTGGACACCGAGATACTTTGGCACCCCAAAGCACAGTGCTGCCAAAAAAAAACCACAGCCAAGAGAATTACAGGTAATGCCAACATGGTCATTCCAAATAAATTGTCATGCCCTTGTTAGAGTCAGACTCTGAGGGAGAGGAGGAACAGCCAACAGGGAATGGAGGTGTGGCTTCGAAGGTTGTGGAGGAGACTGAGGAAGGGCAGAGGCCGGCTGGGCAGTCAGAGGAAGAACCAGGCTCATCCCCTCTTCACCCTAGGACACGCAGGGAGGAACAGAGAAGGAAACAACTTGGCTTGCGAGAGAGGAAGCGGCCATGATCCCCCTAATTGGTTGCAGCTGGGGAGACTAGTATATCAGAGAGACGGTTAAAACACAGCGTTGCCAGAAGCAAAGTGTGTTTTATTTTGGGATGAAGTTATCTTGGTTGGTGTCCTTCCAACAGACTGTGCCTTGCTATCTCCTCGAAGTTGGTAATTACTTATCCTGATCCGTTGTGGAAATTCCTTCATTGTAGTTTGTTTTAGTTTTTTATTTCATCTCTATTCGCTCATTAAGTTCAGACTGTATTGCTTTCTTTTGAAGACTATTTTTGAATAAGTTTTATCTCCAAGTGAGAATTATAGAATGGTGGGGCCAAGTTGGAGGCATTAAAGGACATTTATTTACATTTTGGATTTCGTTACGTTTGTGTTACACTCCGGGCCATCACATAAATCATTTTTTTTTACTCTGAGGGATATGGCTAGAGACTTACAATTTGAATGGGTGGGGGTGTATTGCTGGAGCCCTGACACTCGTCTTACAACAGTTCATTTAGTGACCATTTGAAGTTACAACAGCCCTGAAAAAAGGGGACTTACGACCGTTTTTCATAGTTCCGAACTTTGCAGCATCCCAATGGACACATGATTAAAATTCAGATACTTGGCCATTGACTCATATTTACGTCGCAGTGTCCTGGGGTCAGATGATCTCCTTTTGCGACCTTCTAGCCAGCAAAGTCCACGGAGAAGCCAGATTCACTTAACAACCACATTACAAATTGTCCAGGGTGGATTGGAGTGAGAACCTAGATTGTATCTTCTGGGTATCATTAAGGAAAGTTATCCCTCCAAAGTAAAATATTTGATTATTCACATCCTAACAGCGGCACGTATCTCACTGGCTCAATTTTAATATACCACTAATACAATTTATTATTCAAAAAATGTGTGAATGCACAGAAATGGAAAAATTCACACTAAAATTAAAAGGAAAAGAGGAGGCGGAATTTTACTCGACCTGGAATAAGTGGTATGATTGACTAATGGAAAAAAAATGGAAAAAAAATGAAAAGGGGAATCAAGGGGGGAAAATAAACTTATGAAACAGATTACGATACATACAATAACAAACAGGAATCGTTAATGTCAGTCTTAGACTCTCTCGTATTTTAAATAATCAATAGAAGGAATTCATTGGTAAAAATGAATAAGTATAATCCAACAACAAATATTAACAGCAGAACATTATGTTTGATAGAACATAAATAACAGAGAACCCATAGTAAATAAGAAATAACTGCCACATAGTATAATTTAGGAAATATTTAACTCACTGTCAAATGTATTAAAGGAAAGTTTAATTAGTTTTACCATAGAGATTATGGTAACGTTTGTCTGTACGAATCTTTGTTTTTTGTATATTTGTGTATTTTAATTTTTTGTATTCAATAAAGTTGATAAATAAATAAAAAAAATAACCACATTACTAACTTAACTGTCGTGATTCACTTAACATCAGCAAGAAAGATGGTAAAAAATCTCACTTAACAGTTATCTCATTTAGCAATGAAAATTTGGGGCTCCATTGGGATCGTAAGTTGAGGATTACCTGCATTTTATTTCCTTACTGAAGTCTTATATTGCCCATCATACCCAGTGAGTGTGGGTGGTTTAAAACAATGCATCAATTTTTTGGGGGGGGGGGAACCCTGTTCTCCGATGCATCCCACTGGACCTTCTAGCCGGCACACGGAGCCGAAATCTGCATGGGTTCCAGACCCAGATTTGTGGGAGCGCCATCACTTGAAAGTTTCAAGAAGAGATTGGACTGCCCTTTGTCAGAAATGGTGTAGGCCTGTGATGGTGAACGTATGGCACGCGGTCCATAGGTGGCATGCAGAGCCATTTGTGCCGGCACGCGAACTGCAAGCAAGCTTACCTCACTGCTCTTGCGCGCGCCTCACAGCTGATTTTCGGCTGGTTTGAGGCCTTTTTTCAGCTGGTTTGAGGCCTTTTTTCGGCCTCCCAAAGGCTTGAGGAAGGCTTCTACAGGCTTCTTCAGGCTTTGCAGGCCAAAAACTAACCCTGTTTCGTCACTTCCAGTATTTTCAGAAAATGTGAGGTGCGCGCATGTGCAGTGAGATAAGTTTGCTTGCAGCTCGCGTGCCGGGACAAATGGCACTCCCTGCACCCCTCATGGCATCACATGCCCCAATCACCATCCGTCCCAGCTTGAGATGTCCTCTCAGCCAGGTGCAGAAATAACATGACCTTGACTTAGAAGAAGAATGGTATTATGTCTAACCAGATAACAGATAATCAGAGTTGGAAGGGACTTTGTAGGTCATCTAGTCCAACCCCCTGCCCAAGCAGGAGACCCTACACCATTTCTGACAAATGGCAGTCCAGTCTCTTCTTGAAAGCCTCCAGGGATGAAGCTCCCACAATTTCCGAGGGCAACTTCTGTTCCACAGGTTGATGGTTCTCACTGTCAGAAAGTTTCCAGGTTAAATCTCTCCTTGGGTCAGCTTTGGAAGCCATATTCCACACTGCCACATGAGAAAGTGGGAGGGGAATGATTTCAATTAAGTAGCTCTAAGTAGACAAAATAAAATTCTTTTGTTAATTCAAGGTCATTTAATATGGCACAATTTCCATCCACTGTTCTTTGTCTAGCCTTCCAAGGTTCTTTGGAAAATAGCTTGACCCCTTCCTCCTCTCTGTGGCAGCCCCTCAAATATTGGAAGATGCTATCATGTCTCCCCTGGTCCTTCTCTTCACTAGACTAGCCAAGCCCAGTTCCTGCAACCGTTCCTCGTACGTTTTAGCCTCCAGTCTCCTCATCATCCTGGTTGCTCTTCTCTGCACTTTTTCTAGAATCTCAACATCTTTTTTATAGTGTGGTGACCAAAACTGGATGCAGTACTCTAGGTGTGGTCTTACTAAGGCTTTATAGAGTGGCATTACTACCTCCCTTGATCTTGATTGAATCCCTCTGTTAATGCAACCACAACCCCTCCAAGAAATTCCACCCATCCATTATTTCCCCAGGCTCAAGAAAGTGACAGTGCGGAAGCGTCTGGTGCTAATATGGCTTCCAAAGCGGACACTCCAGAGCCCAGGGAGGGTGAAAACATCCCCCCCCCCCGGCCGTGGTATAGGAGGCTGACTAGGCCACACCCACCATCGCCACGCCCACCCAGCAACCTGGCAGAGAGACCTGTTGCTAACATTTTTGAAGGCCCCCCCATTCCCCGGGCGTTTCTCTTCTCATCCAAGAAACTTCTTCCATTCTTCATGAACAGAAGAAACTTCTTGGATGAGAAGCGAAACGTCTTCAAGCCAAAACACAAGAAAGTCCAGTTTTGAAAAACAAAGCATCTATGGGACAACCAGGACCTGGATTAACTGAGAAGCTCCATAGATAGTCTTCCGGTCAACATCCGCTGTAACTTACTAGAGGGTTAATGGGCTTCTCTCCATCCTGGTTGTGAAGAAGACACAGGGAACACCGAGACACACAGTCCCAAGAAGCTGAGAAAGCCACGTGGAGATAGAAAGCCAGTCCCCAAAGCTGCCAATCCATGCTTCCCAGAAGGTACCTGAAAGGGGAGGGAGAAAAGTCAAGAATTAAGAGCAATTACTCATCAATAGAAGAACGTCTATGAAAATTCTCCGTCATCCAGGGCACGGTTGTCCCAAAGGTGTTTGTTTTTTTTTCAAGAGGTAACTGGACTTTCTGTTTGTTTTTTTTTCTTTGAAGATGTTTCACTTCTCATCCGAGAAGCCAGGGGTGGGATTCCACCAGTTCGGGGATTGCGAACCACCAGTCATGTTAGCTCAGGAATTCTGGGAGTTGAAGTCCACAAGTCTTATACTTGCCAAGTTTGAAGACCCCTGTCCTCTATCTGTCTGTCTGTCTGTCTGTCTGTCTGTCTATCTATCTATCCTATTCTCTCTCTCTCTCTCTCTCTCTCTCTCTCTCTCTTCTACCTCTCTTTATCTATTCCAGGGGTCTTCAAATTTGACAGCTTTAAGACTTCTGGACTTCAACTCCCAGAATTCCTCCTCCAGTCATGTGAGCTCAGGAATTCTGGGACTTGCCAAGTTTGAAGACCCTTTTTCTAGAAAGAGCCAGAGAAGAGCAACCAAGGTGATTAGAGGATTGGAGACTAAAAAATATGAAGAACGGTTGTAGGAGCTGAGGAAACTAGTCTAGGGAAGAGAAGGACCAGGGGAGACATGACAGCAGTGTTCCAATGTTTGAGGGGCTGCCCCAGAGAGGAGGAAGGGGTCAAGCTATTTTCCAGGGCACCCAAAGGCCAGACAAGGAATAATGGATGGAAATTCAACAAGGAGAGATTCAACCTGGAAATAAGGAGAAATTTTCTGACAGTGAGAACCATCAATCCATGGAACAGAATTTGCCTTTGGAAGTTGTGGGAGCTTCATCCCTGGAAGCTTTCAAGAAGAGACTGGACTGCCATCTGTCAGAAACTGTACAGGGTCTCATGCTTGGGTGGGGGGTTTGGACTAGATCAGGGGTCCCCAACCACCGGGCCGCGGACCGGTACTGGTCCGTGGATCATTTTGTACCGGGCCGCAAATAAAATAAAAATAAAAATAAAAAATAAAATAAAAATGGCGGCTTTCTTCGCCTTCGGTGAATGCTGCTGGGATCAGGGATCAAGGACACAAATGAAAGAAGGGGAGGGAGGAAGCAGCCAAAGCCTGTCCTGCTCTCCGGCTCAGTGGCTTCGGTTTCCTCCCGCCTCGTTCCTCTCTCAGTCGCTCTCTCGCTCCTCCACCAGCCCAGGAAGAAACTGCTTCAAAGAAGCCGGCAGGGTGGCTTTTCCTGTCGGCGCAACTCCTCTGAAGCGCCCGTTCATCCCCACCCTGCCGCCCGCGGTTCAATCCAGTGCTCCGTTCTGCCTGCCTGCCTTCGTTTCTGGTGGTTTCTGAGCAGCTTCGGCTGAGAAAAAGAGGCAAATAGTTATTATTCTCAGCTGAAGCTGCTCCGAAACAACCAGAAACGAAGGCAGGCAGGCAGAACGGAGCACTGGATTGAACCG